GAATTTTTTATCACATACTCTTTTTATACATTTTTAGTCTAGTTTTGCGTTTATTTTTCTTATCAAATTTTGCAAAAAATGGGCTTTGTGGCATAACGAATAGCCGTTGGCATTAACAAATTTTGTTAGAAATTGGAATTCAGCTAGTAAAGACCGCCGACTCTGATAAGTAACTAACAAACGTATAATTTTTATTAGTTCTTCATGCTCTGGCAATTCAGGAAACATCTTTTGATAGTTCCCCAAGAGACATATGTGACACGTAAAGTTAAAAGGGACCTATGCTCAGAAAAAAAGATTTCGAGAAAAACGACTTTGAAGTTTACCAAGTTGATTTTGATGCTTCTGAAGGTTTTAATGGATTGAAACTCGTTACTCGGGGGTTTTCGGGGTCGCTGATTACGAATCCGATGTTAGTTTTCCAAAATTCAAACTGCAGAATCCAATATGGCGGATGACTTTTTTAAAAATTGATCGGCATCGCTTGAAACTCGTTACTCGGGTGTTTTTGGTGTCGCTGATTACGAATCCGATGTTCATTTTTAAAAATCCAAAAAGGCGGATCCAATATGGCGGAAAAAATTTAAAATTTGTTCAGATTCAANTTTTCGGGGTCGCTGATTACGAATCCGATGTTAGTTTTCCAAAATTCAAACTGCAGAATCCAATATGGCGGATGACTTTTTTAAAAATTGATCGGCATCGCTTGAAACTCGTTACTCGGGTGTTTTTGGTGTCGCTGATTACGAATCCGATGTTCATTTTTAAAAATCCAAAAAGGCGGATCCAATATGGCGGAAAAAATTTAAAATTTGTTCAGATTCAAGTGAAACTCAAAAATGTCGTTGACACCGAAAACGAGGTCAGTGATTACGAATCCAATGTTCGAAAACCCCCGAGTAACGAGTTTCAAGCGAATTTGATTAATTTCAGAATAGTTTGTCAGATTTGATTTTTTTGTGAAAGTACCCAACTTTGAAGTGAAATTGTGAAAAATCCAATGCAGCTGGAAATCTGCGGTTTATTGCATTGGAAAGAGTGGGCCGTTTACTATAAGAGTCGGTGAAAAAGTGAAACCCGATTTTTTCTGACCGTGGGTCCCTTTTAACTTTACGTGTCACATATATAAAAATCAGCTTTTCTACTATGACAAAAGCATAACTACAAGTTATCATGGTTTAAGGGTGTCTGGCAGGGGGTAGGAACCAAGCTAAGTGTCTGGCAATGAACCGTCGTTCATTTCTTATATTATTACGAATAAAATATATAAAAACTGACCTTTATACTATAACGAATTTTAGGTGCTGTTTTATACACCTTTACCACCTGAGACCTGCCAAAGCCACCACTTTCCAAATTTCATTAGCTGGGTTCGTTATTATCTGTATTGGGGGCATACATAGCGAAAATTTCAGCCTTTATAAAATAACGAAGGTCTGGCCGTCGCTAGCTCTTGGGCTATTAGCACATGATACATCATGTGGGCAAGACGACTTCTCCTTAGGTTGGTTTTTTAACAAATTATAACAAAAATTTGCTCCAGCTTTTGCTGAAAGGTAAATAAAAGCTGTGTACATGTTTAGTACATAATTTCAAAAATGCAAAATTTTCAGTTGTGACTCTTTTGAAGACGGTGTGCGAAGAGCTGCCGCCCTTGTTTTTGGGCCAAAGTACAGGGAGACTCTTAATAAATCAATAAAGAAAACACTAAAAATCGGGACTTAATCGATACAAATATGTAAAATCCGGACGCTTATACGACTTTTAAAAAATATTCAACGGGACAATTTTCTCAAAATCGGTACTGCGCCGGCAAAATCAGTACGAATGGTCACCGTATTATACCTTCTCTCTCCTTCGTGTTCGACATAGTAACGGGTTAGATTGATTCTCAATTTCTCCATTCCTTCTTGAGCGTATAAATTTTCATATTCCTTATAAAAGACTTCGAAATCAGGACACTATTTCTTAGAGCTAGTTAGAACTTTTTATGCTTCTCACGCTCCAATACTGCAAGCTTTGAAAGAATTCAATTTCATCTCAAATTCTCCAGCATTAAATGAATTTTGCACATAATGTACTAAGCATATTTTTTCCATATAGTCTGTAAGAAATGTTGTATTTCTAGTTTTTTAAATAAATAGTTAATAAATAAAATTTGAGTTATTTTTCCTCAAAATATCAAAGCACATTGATCGCATGGAATGGAGCAACAAAACGGATTTGATGGCTCATGGTACCGACAGCGGTGAGTAATTAATTGTGATTCCCTGCGACTAGGAAAAGTCGATCTCAGCTAATAAAAAAAAACAAAACTAATGACAAGCCAGATGAACTTTTTCAAGAAGTCACCCGGGAACTAAGAAGATCTGAAACTTTCATCGTCCGTGATTCCAATAATTGTAATTATTATAAAACACGCGGTGCCTTTTTAACAAAATAACAAGATTTTAAACTAATTCGGCTGGCAGCCACGACTTTCAAAACAGAATTTTCTTCGAAATTTTCATTCCTAGAAAATAACAATTTATTTGCCATCTCCACCTATTTAGAACCTCGCTATAAGCACACATTTTTCAAACCAGTCACAGAAGAATAGATTAAAAATGAATTGCAAAAACTAAAGTCCAAAACCGCTAATGACGTTACAGGTTCTCCCAATCAGAAGAATGAGAATGAAGAATTCTTTGGAAAGCTACTTTGTTTAAACAACGATCTTGCCATGATGCTGGACAGTGAAGATGAAAGTCAGGAGAATACATCCGACATTTGCAGCCCCGATGCAGTTCTCAAAAAGGAGTTATTGCACCACAATAAAAAAAAATATAACTGAAAGTCTTCTCAACTGGTGCTGCATCAATCCAAAAGAATTTACAATTTTGTCAAGTTTCAAGTTTTTCAAGTTTGTCGCCTCGAGTAGTTATTGAGTGGTGGTGGTGTGATTTACGACCCTTTAAGAAACAGGCCTTCAGGTACTAAATAAAAAAAAATTCACCTAAATCACCTAATTTACTCAGTTCAATTAATTCTTAAAAATATTTGACATCCACATTCGCATCCGCGGATATCTAAAATTACACATTCGCAACATCCCTAATTTCCAAACGATATCTCTTAACACAGTTATTCATGAAAATTATTAAAAAAGAAAATGAAAACGTTATAAAAAACCAGAACCAAAATTAAATAATTTTTATTAGAGGTTTTATTTCATCTCACTGTGAGTATGAAATCATAAGGAATGTAAATAAGTAAACAAATAACTGTCAAATAAAAGTTCCAGATTCATACAGCCAATTTCACGAAAGCAATTTAGGTGAAAAATTATTTTGATTTTTCGATGTTTATCCATAAAGCAAAAAAATTAAAAATACAGACGTGGTCCGTCTTTTTTCTCTTCTTTACAGGTGCTATAACAGGTCAAAGGGCAGATCTTCGAAAAATTAAAAACTTAATATTTCAGAAATTTTTGAACTGATTTTTGAAAGATTTGCATCGTTGTAAAGGTGATTTAACCCCCTTTCTTGTGATATGCATATTTGTATTAATCGTATATAAAAATTTGAGAATAAACACATTTAAAGGAGAAAATAAAAAATACAAAAATATTTTAAACAAAAAAATTGCGACCGATTTTTTAAGAATTGATATCGTTGTAAAGGCAATTAAACCCCCTTTCTTCTGATATGCATATTTGTATACCTTGTGAATAAAAATCNAAAAAAAAAAAAGGCATTGTTAAGGCGATTAAACCCACTTTCGTTTAATATGCATATTTGTATACTTCGTATATAAAAGTTCGAGAAAAAACACTTAAAAGGAAAAAATACCAATTTTTTCATCCAACAAAATTTTACAAAAAAAAAATACTAATTAGTAATACAATTGAATGCCGTACTTAAATAAAACAAATTATTTATAGTGTTTTAAGCGTTAATTCGTTCTTGTTTGCCCACAGCCCTGTTAAAAATAAAGCAAAAGGATATGTAACAGAAGTCTAAGGCATATAAAAATATAAAAAAACCATGGTTTTTGATTTTTTACGTAACAGGTTATATAGAAAAATTAAAGATACTTTTACAAATATGCATATCAGAAGAAAGGGGGTTTAATCGCGTTTACAACGCTACCAACCCTTTAAAGATCGGTTAGTAATTTTTTTGTTTAAAATATTTTTTTATAAAAAGCTATTTTTTCGTTTGAATGTGTTTTTTCTCAAATTTTTATATACAAAGTATACAAATATGCATATTAGAAGAAAGGGGATTAAATCGTCCTTACAACGATCCCAATTTTTTTAAAAGCGGTAAGCGTATAAAATATTATCTTTTATAAAAAAAGGTATTTTTTCATTTAAATGGGGTTTTTCTAAAGTTTTTATATACAAAGTATACAAATATGCATATCGAGAAATCAGTTCAAAACTGTTTGAAATATAAGGAATTTAATTTTTCGAAGACCTTAGCTTTGACCTTTTATATATAAATTAAAGCAAAAGGAGGACTGCGTCTACATTTTTAGGTTTTTAGTTATTTATATGCCATAATTAAATATAATTTTTTACCAAAGCTCCTATTTCGAACTTCGAAGGCCCATATCTCGATTAACTAACTTCGAAAAACGGAGAAATTACTTTTTTACCCATGACTCAATCTCTTATAGTTGCGCTCCAGATGCTCACGAAATTCACGATTTGCAGTTTTTTTACAGGAATGCATTCCAGGTTCCAAAAAACCTGTAAGTCAAAGCACTTTTGTGAGAGTAACTTGCACTCTCTGTCAGAGGTTGCAGAATTTAGTTCGAAGTTTTTCTCCCTGCAAGTTCCTGAAAAGTGTCAAACAATAGACAGGGTTGCATTTGTATACAAAACGCAACTTAAATGAGACTTTTCTACTTTTGAATTTGTTGTAAATTTCATGGATTGATTTATTTCTTATTTTATAATAGTAGCTGACATAATAGACTTCAGATGAAATTTATAGCACAAACTAAATACGCAATTGGGCATCATCGTTGTAAATTTTTTGTGGTTTGGTTTATTTTTTTAATTTATAATAGTAGCTGACACAACAATAGACTTCAAATTAAATTTATAGTACAATCTACATACACAACTGGCTTAGTTTAAAATTGTATCATCAAATTCTTCATCCTTTCCAACAGGCTGAACAGCAACTTTACGTAAAACTTTGTTCACAACCTCATTTAAAGATTCTCTCGCACCAATCTCCAAAATTTGGCATACCAAATTAAAAGTAGTATCGTTATCACGTAGATGTAGAATTGCTATTAAAGCTATTTCAGAATTGGACTTCACATAGCCATTTTTTTCTTTGGTGCCATTAACTAACATCGGTACAAGCAATTTTAAAATATTTGGGGTCATCTTATTTGCGGTTAGCTCCTTTGCTAAATAATTACAACATTTGGCAACAAGTTGTTTTATTTCATTGCTCTTATGGTTCATAGCTCGAGTAAAACTTGAAACGATTAACGGTGAGTAAGGAAGATCATTTGACAAATAAAATTGTAACAAGCAAGTTATTGCGCGAACACCGTTGCTAGCAATATTAACCTTTTCAGAGGAAATGCTATTAATAATTATTTCTATTACCTTCTCTTCAAATTTCGCGGTTACAATTACGTCAGGACTCTCCTTTATTGCGACGAAAAGAACTGTGGTGCGACCATGTTTTAACGGACCATCCTCGTTGCTTACAATCAGTATGTGCTGCTGTAGTATATCCTCCAATTGCTGAGATGCTAAATATTTCAGAAGTGCGCCCAGACAGCCTCCCGAAGCAGACCGAGTAATATCTTCTGAATGAGCTATCATAGTTAGAAGAGTAGTAAAGGCTTGTTTTTTAAAACCTTCGGACATTTTTACCCCAGCAAAAGTGATAAGCGAACGCATAGCTGCTAACATAGTTTCTCGTAAGGAGGAATCTTCGCTCGACTTGATAGCATTGTGAATTTCATTAAATATTGGATCAGGACGGGAATGAACAATTACAAGTTCTGTTACAGCTTGCCCGGCTTTCATGCGTACAGTTTTATTTGGATCGTTTAAAGCTTTCAGGAATGTTGTTTGCAGCTGTGGCAAAAACTGTTTCAACATGACCCCTACCTTTCGCAGCAAAATAGCTAGTGATTCTAGTACTGCCGCTTTAACTCCCGCATTAAAACGGTCTCCCAAAATACGTATTAATGGTCCGGTTATTTGAACAACGGATGGCTGTAAGGATTGAGCATTTGTTAATGCAATGACTTCACCTAGCCCTTGAGTAGCATTTTCTTTTACATCTGGCATACCATTTAAAATTGCCTCTCGAAAAATAGGAAGCAAAGGAGTAATTCCTTTTGGAAGGCAAAAACCTGGCAGTTCGGAACCATTTAATTCACTTGCAGCGAATCTAACAGCTTGCCTAACGTCAGACACATGGGCGATTTGCTGGTTTGAATCTAAGCCTCTCACAACCGCGTTTAAGGCATCCCATGATCTTTGAAGAATATCACGATTTGAATCGGCCATCAATCGCAATAAACAACGTAGCAATTGAGGTACATACTGTGAATAATCGCCGGGAGTGTGTGTACAGAAAGCAGAAAGTAAACTTGCCGCCGATTTTCGTGTCTTCACGTTCTCAGCCTTCGCAGATGTCATTAAAATGTCCACAATTGTACGAATACCGGTTTCGTCTGTTACTGATAGGATAACTGATTGACAATAGTCTAGTTCTTGTTGTTCACATGAAGTTCCTTGAGAGTCCGACAATGTTTGAAGTAACGCATTTAAAATTTTAGGTAAATATTTTGTCAACGCATCTCCTGCAACTGATACTAAAATGGAAAGGGCCTTCGTATTAACTGGCGCTGTCGTTAGTTGAGGAACAAGGAACGGCAACACTACCCGCGACTTAATTGTCATGACTTGGCGAAGGCCATCCAAAGTATTTTCTGCAACTGCTGGATTGGGGTCGTTTAGACCTTCCAACATTGATGGTAAGATATCATCAAGTGCACGTGAGCCAACGGTAGAATGCAATGAATCGAAAGTTTTTGCTGCAGCTTCTCTGACTTCTGGCAATGGATCAGATAAAGCTCTTCTTACAGTTGGAACTAGACTGTTAACAAATGAAAATACCATTTCTTTGGAAGTTGATGCCATTATTTCCGATAAGCCGATACAAACGCCTTGACGCTGATCTGCGTGTTCTGAATTTAGACCCTTCTCCAAAATTGGAATTATCTCGGGAAGTACTCTTTCTCCTAGTTTTCTTACAAGATCACCTAGAGTACGCGCGGCAACTTGTCGTTTATCATAGCTTGTGCTAGCTAAACAGCCCAACAACAACCCGAATAAGGTAGGTAAAATTTCTCTTAGCGTGCGGGGTGTGTTTGTTACAACCACTTTCCAAACATGTAGAGCTGCTTGTCGCACCATTAATGATACATCACTTCGCCCCATATAAAGTCCCGATAGAACTCTATTTCGCCTTTCTTCGCCTAAAAATTTTATTATGGCACTATGTGACTGTTCGGTTCCAAAATTATCATCCTCGCTAGCCGTTTCCGTAGTCATCTTTCCAGACACTCCGGATATTCTATATAACAAATCACCTAATAGTTGAACAGAGCTAAATCGAATTCGCCAGTTATCATCAAACAATCCTTTTTCTAATTCCGGAAGAAGAAGCATTACTGCAGATTCTGCATACAAATTGACAATACGTTGTCCAGCTTTTAATGCTGTATCGCGAACATATTCATTTTCATCCGCCAATGCTTTTAATATCGGATTTATTATTTGTCCAATGTAAGGAGTAAATTCTCTAGGAAAGGGTCCGGGCATGTATATAAACATCATGATATATCCATCTTTAACATGTGGAGCAATATCCGTTCTTTCGGAAGTAGCGATAATATCTGGCATTAATTGATGTAGTTTATCCACACCTAGACCACCAACGACCTCTGCAAGGCCTTGAGCGGCACCGCTGCGATCAACGCTGCTAGTTTCGGAGGTAAGGGTTTGCATTAACCACGGTAGTAGATCTTCAAACGAAGATTCCCCAATTCCACGCACCATTGCTCCCAAGGCTCGCGCAGAAATAGCTCTTACTTCAGGCACCGGGTCAAGCAATGACATTTTTAGACCAGGAATTATGTTGGGCAAGTATGGAACTAAATCTTTTTGATCAGTTAGAGAGTACATGTTTCCAATGATTTGAGCAGCCATTTTTCGTGTTTCTGTAGATCTATCCATGAACGCCCTTTCTACAACAGGCATTATGAGTGCAAGGGATGGAGCATCAATAAAATGTACAAACTTTGTTTGAAGCAAACTGTGAAGGCAAGTTGATGTATTTTTCGATGGATCTTCCAAAGCTGTCAACAAAATAGGGACGATGGCTTGGATTTCTGGATTTTTAATAACGGATCCAATAACTTTTAGCGCGCAAGCACCAGCCTCTTGCACTTTTGTGTGGGAATCACCAAGAACTTCTATCAGCTTTGGAACAATGTTTGGTAAACATGATGACAATTGCTTTGGCGCACAGAATGCCATTGCTCCCAGGAGTTCAACCGAAGCCGTCTTAGTCCTCCAAGAATCCTCGTCTAAAGCATTAAGTAGAGACGGGAGAATAAGTTTGACTCCATGAGCTGATAGCCTCCCCATAACGACCTTTGCAGTATCATCAGCCGCTTGTCGTACATATTGCGAGGAATCTCCAAAACATTGCAGTAGATGAGGTAGTACATGCACAATATATGGCTCAAATAAACGGCCAAGAGTTGTACATAGTACTTCAAACGCGAAAAGTGCGCCTTCCCTAGATTTGTAATTTTTCTTCTCTTGTATAAATGTGGTTAACTTAGACATTATGTCGAATTGCTTTAGGGACAAGATTCCCAAACCCTTAACAATACCTGCTATTCCATAAGCTGCTCCCCTCCTCTCCCCATATTTATCAGACTTTATTAGTAACTGTAACAATTTTTTTATAATCTCGGGAGCCTTGTCTCGCACTGATGGGATTAAATGGGGTAAACAATTTGACACCGCTTCTTGTACTTGCTGAGAAGGAGTTGATAATGCCGCAATCAATCTTCGAACTATGGGTTCTATTCGAATATCGTCAGCTTCTAAGTGTCGCGCTAATGATCCCATTATGATAACGACAGCCTGTCTAACATTGTCATAGCTTTTAGATTTGGGTGCTTTATCCAAAAAATCTTCAAATACGGGTAATAAATTAACTATTGTTTCTTTGCCATGAAAATCGACTATGCAAAGAGCGGCAGCAAGCATTTCTTTATGAACGATTTCGTTACGATCTCCAAAGCCTTGCAAAACCATAAATTGCATAATTTGATCCACATCTTCAATATCAAAAAATTTACAAATTTGAGAAATTGATATTGCAATACCCCTGCGCGGTTCCCATTGATCAATCGCGGGAAAAACTTCTCGATCAAATTGATCCAATTGAGGAGGAATCATGGTTAATTTTTCCTTGTAAATGTCAAGCAAGGATTTAAGTACATATTTAGTCCGCTCTTGATCGTTGACAAGCAGTGATAACAAGGAATGTGCCGTTGCCTTTTGTATACATAGCTCTTTATGAGTGACATCTGAAAAAAGTTCGTCCAAACTAGGTACAACAAACTTAGAATAATCCCATAAATCAGCCGCTAAAGCACGATTTTCAGCAGATGTGTCGTGCCTTGCTATCCACACACGGATTTTCATCCGAGATTTTAAATCACTATTCATCATGCCTTCGTTCAAAAAACATTTCTTTATAATTTTGAGTGCTCTTAGTGAAACTTCCCTCACGGCTTCTTTGCCGCTTTGTAATGAATGTAATAATATCTCAATTTCATCTCCAGTAGCATGTCCACAATAATCTTCGCCAGAACTCAAGTTTGCCACTTCCAAAAGTACAGATGAAGCTTTGGTCTGAACTCTACCTTGGTAACCATTAATTAAATATAGCAACAATTTCAACATTTCTAATCGAGGCATATATTTAGGATGATTGAAATCTGTCACATCCCCGTGTACGGTACGTCCTCTCATTTGAGCATGATTTTCAATTATTTGCATACCAATCAATGTAAGTTCCTCACTGTTGGCTATGGAATTTGTAACAAGTACGCGTTTCAAAAACTCAAATGCATAAGAGAAGGACGGTGCGTTGAAACAGTTATGCGATGTAGATTTATTTGCATCATTAATATATCTTACTAAGTGTCTTTGAACTTCTAGTAAGGTTCTAATAGCATTATCATCGATGTTGTTTAAAATCCATTCATTTGGGTGATCGCACTGCGGATTTACTAACCGAATAGTAGTCACCGCTAAATCTTTTCCCAGTTCAATGCAGTCCTCAAAACATACCTCGCTTAGTTTTATATACAGCTTTGACAAAATTTCCGCTGCAAGTGGTAATTTTAACAGTTTTAAAATTGGCATCAATAATTCGTGGAAATGTAGGGAAACTGCCATAGGATTGCCAGAATATGCTGATTCTAGCATGAAAGTTGCATTAGTTAATTTTTTATTCAAAAGGTCAACACGATCTTTTATGCAGTTTTCTTTTTCAATTTGATTTTTTAAGGCTTCTTGCTGTTTTTGGTTATATTCTGAAATATTCGTTCTGCCCTTGCATCGCCTTTGGTCACATTCATTTCCTAACTGTATTTTTTCTATTTGAGATTTGTTATAATGATTATCTCGCGTATATCCTGCTGATAACATATCATTACCATTTCTTTTATTGCATTGTTCCGCCTTTGCAATTAAGTATATGGAATATTCTTCGCCGGAAACAACACCGGAATCAACAGTTTTTAAATCAGCTATAATTTTTTTTATAAATGCTGGTAACATTACTCCAGGGCTCGACCGAACAACAGTAGAGATAGCATTTGAATATGCTTTTTTCTTTTCGAATTTTTCAATTAAAAGTTCTTTAATTTGTTCAGCATTTAGCGAAATAAATTTCTCTGGATCCAATTTAAAATTCAATTTTAAAATCTTTTCCCATAAAAATGGTTCTTTAATTACCACAGCAGGGTGGTGACATATAATTAGAACTTGTAACGATAGCTTTATAGCATCACTTACAGGAAGTTTCTCAAAATTAAAAATGCATTGTATTACTTCTACCAAAGTATTTGCACAAGCTAGAATTTCTTCATAATTGCCTTCATTTTCATCATCAAATTTTAAATTATCTATCTGGCTTTCGATTTCTATTATAATGGATTTAATATACGTAACGCCGTCGATTGAATGGAATATATTTGGCAGCAAAGATAAAGTGTATGATCTTACTTTTTGAGAATTCGATAACAAATTGCAAACTATAGCTTTGAATATAATATTAAGGGTACCTTTCAGTTTGCTTGGATATTGCGTTAACAACTTTTCAGCCATCAATGATACATAGCACAATGATTCGGCAGGTGCAGCGAACATAAACCGCTCGGAAAAGAACAATTGTTTATTCATGTCGAATACGACGCTCCAAAAATTGCTTAAGGTAATATTGTGCAGCGGGCATTCTGTTTTCAATATAATACAAGCAGCGCAAAGTGCCTCACATACAAGGGGAATTTGTAGGGGATTTTGTAAACCTTTTTCAACTAGCGGAAGAAGAAGGGGAGTAATTTTTGACTCCGCGTGTAATCTACCATTTTGAAGAGCAGCTAGAAGCCATTGAAGATACGCTATTCGAACAGGTTGAGTTGTTGTTTTCAGGTCCAGTCCTCTTTCAAAGATATATATGATTGATTTCGGTAGTTCGCCCAAAAACTTTGTCACCCACAAACTAAACATGTCCAAGGTGTGGCATATAACCCGCTCTTGAATTTCAGCTATCAAGGCTTTCGAAAATAAATCCACAACGAGATGCAATATCCTTGAAGTGTCATTAGTGGAAATTGAGTTGAAACTTAAGTATCCTGCGGCCTGAAAAAAATAGTAAAAATGCTTATGAATTAAGAATAATAAAATCAAAGTTTGAGGTTGACATACAAAAATAATGTTGAATTTTCAATCTTAGCAATGATACATAAATACAGGTATTGTACACGTTTTAAATTTTAAATAAAAATTATATGGAGAACTCATTAAAACATAAAAATGTGAATGCAGTTAAAAGGTTCGACTCTCAGTACCAAAACAGTACCCACTAGGGAATCCAATCCAGCATAAAAATCGCAATCACGCAAGCCTACGGGATCGAGGTCAACAATCCCGCGGGATTTGCGGGATTAAAAAAACATATTATTTCCTCTAAACAAATATATAGAAAAGATGATTTTATTTAGAAAATCTACGCATTTATTTCTAATTAATAATATTATATATATTTAATAATATAATTCTACTTAATAATATATATATATATATATATAATATATATTCTAATTGACTTTTTTGATAATATTTCCGAAGGAATAATAAAGTATTTCGGGTATCCTCTTTTAAATTCGACCTTATTTTATTACACATATCCGCTGAAACACAATGCCGACGAATTTTTCGCCGCGAATGTTCGCTGTAAAAATTAAAACACACTGTTGTATATGAGAACGCACACAACCAAAGCAAACGACGACGTTCGTCCGATAACTGTTCGCAACGCTAGACTTATTTCTATCGTCGTCGCAGGCGGCACCGGCAAAATACGACCCATTGTGGCCATATGCTAAATATTCTCAAGTTTTTAGATAGAAATTGAAAAATACTGTATTTGGTTTGTTAAAAATTAATAATCTTATTATTTCTAAAAACTTTAATTGTTCCTTGTCATAAGCAGCTGAATTCGTTGTCGCCGTAGTTATTTTACTGAGCGAAAATTTTGGGCGAAAGTTGCCACCGTCGTCGCACTACTTTGCGAAAATTCGGTATTGTGTTTCAACGGTATATCCAGCGGCGGAAAACGCACTATCGGCTTCAATACTTGTAGGAGGAATCGAGTTCACATAGTTATAGGCAGCTTCTAAGTGCTTTCCTCTATTGCCTCCGCATTGGAAAAACGTCATTCCACGTTTCAGTATCAGAACAAGAGAGAAAAAGTATTTAAGGTATCGTCTTTTAAATTCGACCTTATTTTATTACACATACATATATCCAGCGGCGGAAAACGCACTCTCGGCCTCAATACTTGTAGGCGGAATCGAGTTCACATAGTTATAGGCAGTTTCTAAGTGCTTTCCTCTATTGCCTCTGCATTGAAAAAGCGTTATTCCACGTTTCAATATCAGATTAAGAGTATTTGTTTGTGCATATACAGTGACTCACAGAAGTATTTTGCATGAGAAGATTAAGTAAACCTTTGAATTTATTTTATTTTTTTGTTAAGTATTTGACAGGTTGTTAAAATTAGATCTTAATGATACATAAATAATGTATTAAAACTAAAAAAAAAAAATATTTTTCATGTAAACGTAACAAAACTTAAAAAAATCATAATTCATTGCTCACAAAAGTATTTTGCTTTTGACTAGGTGGTGAATAAATATACGATATTCTATCTATTCAATATTTTGTATGATAGCCATTATTTTTGGAAACCGCCTCCAAGCGTCTTGGAATAGATTCTATCAATTTTCAACAAAATTCAGGAGGTATTTTTTCCCATTCTTCGAGCAAAACAGCTTTCAGGTCACTCTTTGACGAAATTTTGTGTCCCCGCACTCTATCTTCGAGATAGGCCCAAAGATTTTCTATGGGGTTGATATCGGAACTTTGGGGAGGTGTTGGCAAATGTTTTGTGTTGAAAAGTATCCACATTTTAACATCATGAGCTGTATGTTTGGGATCGTTGTCGTGTTGAAATAAAAACTTGTTAGTTGACATACCCATTTTTTCAGCACTGGAATGTAAGTTGTCCTTGAGAATGGACAAATAAAGATGTTTATCCATCGTTCCATCTATAAACACTAGTTTTCCAACTCCCTGAGCCGACATACAACCCCACTCCATGACAGAACCTCCGCCGTGCTTAACAGTGGATTTAATATTTTTGATTCGCAGCTCCTCATTTTTCTTCCGCCATACCATACGACGACCGTCCGGTCCAAAAATGTTGTATTTGCTCTCGTCACCAAAGATCACGGTTTTCCAAAACTCAAAACCTTTTGTTTTATAGGTGTTGGCGAATAGAAGTCGCTTTTCTTTATTAACTTTTGTAATTAGTGGCTTTTTCCGCGCTGCACGACCGTGGATATTGTTACTTCTGAGTACTCTGCGCACCGTCTCATCGGATACTTGAGTGTGAAGGGTTGCCTTTATTTTGTCATTAATTTTTGGGGCTGATAAATGTGAGTTTTGGCGATTTTCTTTTAATATTTGGCGTTCTTCTCTCACTGTCAGCAACTTTGGTCGACCAACACGCGTTATATTTTCCAAATTACCGCGTTCTTTACACCGTTGAATTACGTTTTCGATCGTTTGGCGACATCGACTAAACATATTACAAATATATCTCGTAGGTTTGCCGTCATTGTGAAGGGTGTAAAATAATCTTTTTTTTCAGCCGTAGTTAATTCTTTACCCTTTGGCATTTACGATGTGCAAAGTCCCACAATTGCAAATGAAATGAATTCAGTCACTAGCAAAATTGATGATAAAACGCACTAGTAACCGCCACTTCAGCGAAAATAGAAAAACAAACGAAACTGCGCCCAGTAACGGTTTCAAAATAAAAAGCAAAATACTTTTGTGAGCACAGAATTCCATTGCTAAGCACGTTTTTTGTTGTATGTACCTAACGGTACAATTTTTGGGCACGCCGTGTAGCCCATTTCCTAAGAAAATGCTCAATAATTGGAGTACGTATTTGATTTAGTAAGCTCGGATATTTACTGCATAAGAAATTTGAAATTTGTGCATACAAGTAATTATGCAAAATACTTCTGTGAGCCACTGTATAAGTACAGATGAAGCCTTGGCTATCCATTCAGTACGAAGACTACGCTCTAATTCAGCTTCTAATGGAGGCGAAGATTCACAATCTGTTGAGATATGGGATAAAGGCACGTTGTGATGCCGTGTTATAAAGCCATAGGAAATAACGCCATATGGCTTCATTTCACTTTACATTGAGAAGTACAGCCATATTTTTGCGTATGATCTTATTTCTCACTGTGAAAGTGAAATAAAGCCATTATGGCGTTATTGCACTTTGATAATTTTTTGTGTAATGTTTACCTAGTGCACAGCTGGTGTGCATATGTACATAAAGTAACTCGGTAATACTCTAGTTTAAGGATGCCCAAATCAGCACATATGTGTCGCGGGCGACTGCGCATGCAAAGCTTTGCACAGCGGTGCTGGGTGGGCGAGTCCGAGATGTTTAGATGATCGAGATAGTACATTTTTTTCATANTTACCTAGTGCACAGCTGGTGTGCATATGTACATAAAGTAACTCGGTAATACTCTAGTTTAAGGATGCCCAAATCAGCACATATGTGTCGCGGGCGACTGCGCATGCAAAGCTTTGCACAGCGGTGCTGGGTGGGCGAGTCCGAGATGTTTAGATGATCGAGATAGTACATTTTTTTCATACTTTTTGAACATATTTTCCACAAAACTAAGTTTTTTTTGCTTTCTGTTTGATCTATAATATGCTTCTCAGTTTCTTCAATAAATTTCATTTGAAAAGAAAACAATCATAATACAAAACTTGCGTTTTCCAGCTTAATATTAATTTACTTCTCATTTCTTGTGTACCAATTTTTTCAGTGTTGGTTTTGAAGAAACATTGAAAAAGAAATTATAAAAAATATGGAAAAAAATATAATTTTGAAATGTTAGTTATGAAAAGTTTTAAGTAAAAAAATTAAATCAATGATTTGGCCAGTTGCCGTTTAGCAGGCGGCTGTGGATCAACATCACTGCTCTCTCTAATATCCTGGTCATCGTCATCATCATCAGAAAGGTCGATAATTGCGCCCAACAGATATTCTGGAATTCATCTTTGTCTTCCCCTTCTTTCTCTTTTTCCTCGTCTTCCTCTTCTTTAAAGGTGTTTTTATACCACCAACAAATTTCAGGGGGTATTGCATCTGGAGATTTCTTTCCTCTGTACCTGGAACGAAAATAGTTTTCAATCGTTAACATGTTTAAATTGTGCACTCTGACAAAGATATTAGAAAAATCTAGGAATTCAAAATATGCACACTCTATAGTTACCTTATTTCAAATGGAAGCGCAGTTTGATGATAACGTTCGCCTTGCTCATCAGATTCAGTCGGCAACTGTTGAGCGAGTTGATCAAGATGCTGATGCAAGAGATGAATTTTGTATGACATATTAACCCCAATTTCATCGAAAGCTGCCAACATATTTGCAACAGATTGCCTGTAGTTGTCTTTGCGTTCTTTACCCAAAAGTCCTTTAATGACTGCTTTCAATGCGAGCCATGCATTTAATTCTCGGTCTGTCAGAACTTGGTCAAAATCTTGACGACTCATTAGTTTCCGTATGTCGGGACCATTAGCAACCCCTTCCTGAATTTTGGCGTTACTTAGTCTTGGGAAAATGTCTTTTAAGCGGTTGAATACTGCTGGTCTTTTTGCGATACATTTCAAAAAATTTTTAGCAATGCCCAGTTTAATGTGGAGCAACCGCAATAAAATTTTCATTTCAGGAACAAGACTTTCATGTAGCCTATTGTCTTTAGGCCATTTCCGTACAATGAGACTATTCCAGTTATGCTGTTTGTACTGGTTTCTTCCTTTAATACCTTCTCCGTATCGTGAATCTGAATCGCACAAAAAACACGGATATTTTGGACGGCCAGATGCTGTTAAGCCTGTAATCAATGAACCTATTTTGAGGTCGCAGCAAATGCGCCACTGGTGTTCGTTATATTTGACTACTTCCAGAATGTGTTTCAAATTATCGAAATTTTCACTAGTGTCAGTGCTAAAGCGGCCGTAATTTTAGTCCGATTTC